GAGAGAGAAGAAATAGAGAGAGAAAGAAAGAAATGTAAGTTGATGGGAAGATTAGTGACGAAAGTAAATATTTATGAAGTTTAGTGGGTCACCAGTTAAATAATAGGATATTAATATATAAATGACGATCCAATAGTTAAAATTTTACAGACAATATATATATATATATATATATATGTATGTGTGTGTATCAATCCAACATATTTTCATAACTTTAAACGTTATCCTGACAGAGAGCGTATATTTTTCTTCTATGTATATATATTTCTTTTATATATATATATAATACTGTATGAAAAAAGTTTTTAAATATCAATAAATTAACGTTTCCATATAATATTATTAACGCTTATTTTTAATATTTTAATATTGAGCACAATATATAATATATTTGCGGTTTCCTAAAACTTAAATTTTATATATATATATATATATATATATATACACACGTTTTACCAGTTTGTGGCCGGAAGGGATAATTCCGAGGAGGATATAAATCCCTAGAGAGTGCATTATGATAATAATATCTCCGTCTTGTTTTTATTATATATAAGTCTCTGTATTATTCTTATATATATATATATATATATATATATATATATATATATATATTACCAGTCTGTGACTGGAAGGGATAATTCCGAAGAAGATAGAAATCCAGGGAGAGTTCAATGTAGACAACAGAGCATTATAATGATAATAAAAAACAAACAGAGACTTTAATTATCCATTTTGTACATAATTTTTATTTCGTGAACAAATGGGCATTTCCGGGGGAGATTTAGTTATGACGAGTTGAGCATCTCGGTGTTCACGAAATAAAAATTATAAACGAAATGAATAATTAATGTCTCCGTCCTCTTATTATCATATATATATGAACATTCGACATTATATATATATATATATATATATATATATATATATATATATATATATAATGTCGAATGTTCGTTTTCCGAATATAAGACCTGGGTTCAAATCTCCCCGTTGACGAGTTGGTAGGGAGGCGAACCTAAAGTACGGCTCCGTTTGAAAGTGCCTGAAATCTATATCAGAGTTTGACTCAAACATTGTGAATCAAATTCGTTTGATGAAACTGTTCGAAATTCATTGTTGGTTATGTGAATTGATCTCGAAGTCAAAAATCTACATAACTGAGTCTTTGAGCGTACCGGACTTTTACTAACTGTGAATCAAACCAGATCGTGTTCGCTCACTCCCAGAAACTGTAATTTAAGTCCACTCAGCTTAATTACAACATAAACCACGGGCGTGATCTCTATTTAGCATAATAAATACAAATGTCTCTGAGCAGGACTATGCAACAGAGATTGGTTAGTATCTCTAGCAGACAAGTGTGTTCGGAAATGAGTAGCCGGTCATTATATACAGTGGGGTTGAATACGTGATCGTACAGCAAACAAATGCTTGTTATTCTCACTTATAGCAAATGAAAACCTCGAATAACAATGTTATATATGTATTGGGGGGCATAGAATCAGAATCTACAATTTAAAATTAGAAATCCATCGATAAGTGATAATTATGCAAATTTTATAATTCGAATAGTGGAAAAGGTGTTCGTACAGTATCAATTTTTGCATTATAATACGGTAGATTTTGGTTGTACTTCAAAGTAAAAGATTCTAAACTGTTCTAGAATATTCTCAGTAACTCAATTGCAAATTTCAGATAAAATTGTATCATTCTGCAGTCACTGTTCACTGATAACGGTTCTAATAATGGCTAGACATAAGGAAATGACTTGTGTTCAAAAACAGCTAATTATTAAGCTATGTAACAATGGAAAATGTTACAGAAACATCTCCAGTGACACGAACATATATTTTTCAACAATTGGTTCATTTATTGCAAAATTTGAGAACAGAGACAGACCCGGTGCTCCCAGGAAGATCTCTCCCAGATTACGAAGAAAGTTGATGCGGCAGGTCCAAAATAACCCAATGGCCACCAGACAAGACCTTCAGAATGATCTGAGTTTGTCAGGAGTTAATGTAACTAAGCAAACGATTAGTAAAGAACTACACAGAGACGCTATAAAGTCGAACTCCCCAAGAAAGACACCCCTCCTTCTGAAACGGCATAGAGATGCCAGGTTGAAATTTGCTACAGAGCATAAAGATGAGGAAAATTATTATTGGAAAAGAGTTCTTTGGACAGATGAGAGTAAAATTGAGTTGTTCGGTCGCAATTCCTTGAATCATGTATGGAGGAAAGACGATGAAGCATACGTACCCAAGAACACCATACCAACTGTCAAATTTGGTGGAGGTAGTATCATGGTTTGGGGCTGCTTTTCGATGCGAGGTGTTGGCAAACTAGCAATTATAGACTGTAGAATGAATGCAGAAAAATATCAACAAATCCTAAGCGAAAATTTATCGCTTTCTGTAGAGAATCTTGGGCTCCCTCCTAATTGGATCTTCCAGCAGAACAATGATCTCAAGCATACTGCTAAGAGTACGAAGAATTGGCTTGCTAATAACAACGTTAACATCTTACAATGGCCCAGTCAGTCGCCGGATTTGAATCCAATAGAGAATTTATGGCGGTTTTTGAAAAATAAGATCCGTGATAGAGGTCCGACAAACATAAAAAAACTGAAAAAAATAACTCAGGGAGAATGGGACAAAATACCTACTAAAGTATTCGAATCGTTAATTAAAGACTACAGGAAGAGATTGGTTGCTGTTGAACTTAATAAAGGCTTTGCTACAAAATATTAAATGGAGAAAACGTGTTTTTCTTCTGCTGTACGATAATTTTTTAAACCCCTAAAAATTTAAATATTGCTATATTTTCTTAGCCATGGAATATTATTTAGTTTTATACCCATACAATTTTAGTATGCAATCTGATACAGTAGATATATTCCGGTTTTTTTAATTTAATGTTACAAATAAAAATATGAAATATTTTCCTGTGTACGATCACTTATTAAACCGTACTGTATATATATATATATATATATATATATATATATATATATATATATATATATATACTGGATATAGCAGCCAAACTTTCAAAATCGTGTAACAGTATGAGATTATTGTCCATCTCACAAAATTTCTAACATCTAAAAATCTGCTAAACTAATTGAGTTTCTTTTTTCCAGGTTTTCAGATAAGACGATTAGCCATCTTGACTCTATTTGTTGTAAGAATCACTGAAAAACCCTTTGAGTTATTCAGCTAGAAAGAGAACAGGTTCAAATTGTTTTGTATCAGCCCCACTTTGTTTTCCCAACTGAAAAGATCTTTCAGTCCTTCAGTAATGGTATCCTACATTGGCTTCCATCTTCAAAGTCCAATCAAGAACCATCAAGAGAACGGTGAATACGTTTAAAAAAGGGGGAACAGTAGAAAGGAAGACTGCATTACGAAGGCACAAGAGCAAAGGAATCATCACTTTAACTTAGACATTTTTATCTATAAAAAGAAAGTATAAACATAAACAGAAAACAGAAAAATGTATTAAAAATAATTGTCGGACTTTGTCCATTTCATAATGTGTGACGTCATTTGTTTACATTTGGATACGCCATAAGCAGATATGAATGTACGTGAGAGAATCACGAAAATTGACGTTTAAAGGCAGTAAGTTCGACAGTGCTAACCGAACGATTCTCTGTGGCTCGATCGGTTAAGAGCATGTCAGGCTAAATGACGGTTCCGTATAGGATACAGGTTCGAATCCTGTCGAAGAACGAATATTTTCTATGAAAATTTCTCGGACATTCAGGCCGGTAAATGTTGTTTAATACTGTTTGTTATAAACAGGACATTCACTTAAATATTTGTATCTATAAAAAGAATGTATAAACATAAAAATGTCTTAAAAATAATTGTCGGACTTTGTCCATTTCATAATATATATATATATGCATGTTTCATTAAAAACGACAGACAAGGTACTACGGTTGAGCTTTTTATTAAATTTTTCTTGTGTTCTGACAAGAGCTTTCTTTTCTGGACAAAGGGTGTGTAAGAACTGTCCGAATGTTTTGTATTTCCGAGCGCTTTCGGCTATACCTTTAGCTATTATCAAGGATGATTCGATTATCAGCTTAGTAGAGTGTGTGCATTCTGTGTATGTTTATTTTTTCCATAAATGGGTCATGACCCGTAGATTTGAAATCAGTGGTAGACGTTAAACAGGAGTGGATGTCAATGGATACATATTGTATCCATTTAGGATCTTAGGAAATGTCATTTCCTAAGTAAAAATGAAATGATAATCTAACAAAATACTACACAAGTTATATGCTTTCTAAGAAAAAGTATTGCTAAAATCCAAGTTTAAATGAATTTTAAGGTTAAAGGTAGAACGTGTTTACCATTTATCATTAACTCGGATCATTGGTTTAATTAAGCAGTCGCAACAAAGAACCTGATAATATACGTTTTTTCATGTAAACACAGAAAACAGGGTTTATATAGGGATCTACATGACCTTGCCATTTTTAAAATTTTCCATTTCACCTTAGAAGTTTTATTATCGTCTTTCAAACTCCAAAACTATTTAGAAGGTTATATATTATTTCTATAAGTATTATTAGTAAAGGACAATATATGTTGATACCACCTAGTCTTGAAAGAATTCTAAGTACTACCAATATAGAACTTTTCAATCGTTGGGTTTTCTATTGTAGAGATAGAACAAAGATAAACAAGAGATTTAGGTAAACATTTGTTCGGCAATGGGTATTGATCAGGATTCCTATAATTACATTGGCCAGCATCCTTAACAATATTCTCTTTGGAACTTCTATTATGATTCAGATTATTAAATTGGTTTAGAGTTTTATTGTTGTGTAACTTTATGATATTCTCAAGGTTATTGGTGCAACAATAAAAGAGATAGATAGATAGATAGATAGATAGATAGATAGATAGATAGATAGATAGAAACAGACTGAGATATATAAATAGATAGAAACAAATTGTGATATATAGATAGATAGAAACAGACTGTTATAGATAGATAGATAGATAGATAGATAGATAGATAGATAGATAGATAGATAGATAGAAACAGACTGTTATAGATAGATAGAAACAGACTGTGATAGATAGATAGATAGATAGATAGATAGATAGAAACAGACTGTTATAGATAGATAGATAGATAGATAGATAGATAGATAGATAGATAGATAGATAGATAGACTCTCCAGATAAGTTATCTGAATGTTCATTCATTGAAATAATTGGAAATCAAACACGGGATTGTTTTTTTATTAAGTTCTTTCAGCTATTTTAATTTCATCTTTGAATTTGTCATTTGATTTTTTTTATCTTCTTTGTGTCTTCCCAGAAGTAAATACTCCATCTAATCTTCCTTTTGAATTCTTTTCTTCTTTTCTAAATGATGTTCTCCGTGATATTTGAGTGTTTAAATTTGAGTTTAAATTTCACGTCTGAATCGTTCATCATTTTAATTACAATTAATCCTAATATGTAACAGCCATCGTGTTTTTATTTTTCTGTTTTTCTTTCCCGTTTTACCCTGCTGCTATCGAGTTGGACTACTGGTCATTCACTCATGATTCTAAGGACAGACACCCACCCCCACTACCTATTACCTTCTCTCACCCTCCATATACCAGAATGTCAGTTAAACATCGCATAGTCAAAAAGTTTTGTGAGCCGCAGATCAACTCTCCAAATAAATTATCTGAATGTTCATTCTTTGAAATAACTGGGAGTCAAACCCAGAAGTGACTTCTTTTTAAGTTCTTTCAGATGTAGGTCTCTGCCAATTTTAATTCTTTATTGATTTTCTAATGGACGCCTCGACTGCAATTAAAACATAGTGACTTTTTTTTTAACAGGAGTAGATATCTATCACACGCTCCATACTCTTCCCCTTCACTTAAACAGGAATAGAGACCCATCCCTGGTTTCCCGTTTAGGAAAGTGTTCTCTGTTACTTTCCTTTACCCAGATCTTAATAATGGTGCTATCATGAATTTTTTGTGATATGTGTGGATGGTAGCAACGTCCCTTCATACTGAGGGTATCGGGATGGCAATTTTTTGGTTGTTCTTCACGACTAGTAGTTAGGGCTCTGTTGTAGAGTAGTTTCACGGTGGAGGCTTGTATTTGTACTAAGTCAGTCCTAAAATAGGTTCGACGTACAAAACGTTAGGAACTTGATATAATAGGTAATGACGCAGAGAAATCTAGTAGTGGTCGCTGATACTTTAATATCCGACTAACGGTCGTCCGGCATCGACTGACTGAACAGCTCACTGAGCGACCCCTCGTTACTCTTACTACTCCTACTTGTTATAGGTGGGAGAGTCTATTAACTATAGAATAGGTGTGTTTCACTATAACAGGCCCGAACTCTTGCATAGCGTCTTGAGAGGCTGCTCTGATGAACAGTAGTATAATATCGATGTTCTTTCAGTGCCGTGCCGCGCATTGGAAAGGTGTTCAAATAAAATCAAAAAAGGTTGATAAACCGTAAAAAAAAAATAAACACCGATTAGATTTCCAAATAGGTTGTATTATACAATCGATAAACATTAGTATTAGTATAAGTTCATTAAAAAGTTCAGTAAAATCGCACATACGGAGGCACGGCGGAGTAATGGATAGCGACTCGGATTGAGGAATCAGAGAACCGAGTTCGAATTCCAGATGAATCCATTACTTTCACTTACGTGCAAATACCCCTGGGAAAGGTATAAATCCTCTTTTTCTTCCAGACCGGGTTCCATAGACTTGGATGGCAACTGGTCTACCGCAGAAAGTAAAGGCAACCTACTGCGGGAAAAAAAATCTGCCTCGACAGTCATGTATCTTTCGGTACATGATCGCCTAAGCGTGTATCACGCATGGCACATAACTGAATGATATTCACTTACACGCAAATTTTATTTGGAAAGGTATGAATCCTCTTCTTCACGCCAGCTATGGGTAAATAGCAGGTCAGACCGGGTTCTATAGCCTTGGATGGCAACTGGTCTACCGCAGAAAGAAATGGCAAATGCGGGAGAAAAAATCTGCCTCGTCATTCATGTATCGAAAGATACATGATCACCTAAGCGTGTATCACGCATGACACATAACTAAAAACACGGTCACATGTTGAATGCTTGATGTTCCTTGGCCTGCCATTTGCTGTCGACAGGCGTAAATTGAGTCTGTTTGAAAATAAGAAAACTCAAGAGTACCTTATGCGTTCTCAAAGATACACATAAGATCACAATTTTAAATGGAAGGTGAATTTCAAGCGTAACGCTCTTTCTAATCAGACTAACATTTAATTTTACAAATGTTTACGCTTTCATTTAATCTGACAAATACTTGAGATAACCCAAATAAATTTGGTTGCAGGAGCGTCAAAAATTTCACTTTTGTCCTTATCTGTTTTTACGCACTCACAAAAAATACATACCTGTTTGTTTGTTATATTCATCGTTACATAAATGCTACAATAAACAGTAACTAACATAATAATCAAAGAATTTCTTAAACGAAGCATTGTTAATTATTATTCATATTAGGTTAGTACTTATATTATGGCTAAATAACAAATAAATATTATAAATAAATAAACGGCCAATTCTGTCTGTCCATCCGTGTGTTTGAAGCCCCTCTAACTCGGACGACATAAGCTCTACACAGACATATTATACCTTTTTGGAATCAAAATGATCCCAGGATTGAAAATCTGTCCTTTATCTGGTGCTTGAACATCCAGAATTGGATTTGTCCGGATGAGTTAAAAATACAATTTTTAAAATAATTGAAAAAAATTGATTTTAAAAGTTTTTCATTTATATTGAGTTTTAATTGAGGTCTGTTAATAGTTTTTCATTTTTATAGCAAAACGACAATCAAAGCAACACTAAAAAAATATGAGATACATTTTTATAGTAAAAATACCAACAATACATTTTATGATCTAAAAACTATATATCTAAAAAAAACAAACATTTACCCTGAAAGTATAAAATTATGTACAAAGTATCTCAAGATGAAGGCATAAAATTACGTACAAAATATTTAGATTTCGGTATAAAATATCCTATAGATGTTGATATGCCGCTAAACAAAACAAAACAAACAAACAAACCAACCAATCAGATGTCATCATTGCTCAACTATGTATTTATGTTAATGACAACTATTTACTGCTGCCTCAGTAGCAATTCTGACAGGTCCCACAATGTAAAACTGGCAACGATGCCCAAAAAGGACCTCCAATCATTGGTTAGGCGGGGCAAGGAATGGTTTGTAAATTTAAATGCTTCCAAACAAAACTGCTTTAATTTAATCACAATCGAGAATCTTTTCTTCCTCCCATCCGCATGGCTGATGCTAACCTCCAGGAGAGAACCTCTTTGCATTTTCTTGGTTTCACTTTTTCTACTGACATGAAGTCTAGTGATTATATATTATGACATCGGGAATGATGTTGATGAAGATAAGAAAAAATCTATATTCCTCTATAGTGGCTTGAGAGACCCCTAGATTAATGGGAAATGAACTAGAAGCATGTCTGTTCAACACGCCCGCCATTACATGATTTATTAAGAACGAGTAGTTGGTTTGTTTGGTTTTACGGCATATCAACCTCAATGGGTCATTTAATGACGACAAATCTTTTTTTTTCCTGGTAATATTTTTGTTTTGTCAAAAATCTATTTCTGTTAATATTTTTTTCCTGAAAAATTTACAGCTGGTAATATCATTTTTTTCAAAAACGTATAGCTGGTAATATTATTTTTTCAAAGCGTATAGCCGGCAACTCTATTCTTTTAAAAACGTATAGCTGGTAATATTAGTTTTTTTCAAAAACGTACAGCCGGCAACATTATTTTTAAAAAAACGTATAATCAGAGGCCTTGCTGTTGGACGTAGTTTATCGTCATACCCAAGACGCGGATGTAGTTTATCATCATACCCAGGAAGCGGACGTAGTTTATCGTCATACCCAGGACGCGGATGTAGTTTATCGTCATACCCAGGAAGCGGAAGTAGTTTATCGTCATACCCAGGACGCGGATGTAGTTTATCGTCTTACCCAGGACGCAAGAACGAGTAGATTAATCCAAATATTCATACAGAGATACCGTAATTCTGAACTCTTGTCTCATATTCATCTTTTGATCTCAAATGCAAATGTCTTCAATCAACAACAAAAAAACAAAGGAATTGGCCTTGTCATTCCAATACTTTTGGAGTGGACTATATATACATATATATATATATATATATATATATATATATATATATATATATATATATATATATATATATTTGTGCGTGTGTGGAAGTAGTAATGGTATAGCGTTAGTATTTGAATAAATGAATAAGTATTAAACTATTTTTCAAATAATTCTTTTCACTATTCTTCAATTATCTTATTTTAAATACTTTGTTTTAATATTAATTTTTTAAAAGTATTTTACTTTTTGAATTTAACTTCTTAAAATTTTCCTTTATTTGATTAAATGAATATTAACCTTTTTTTCATATAATTGTTTTCAAAATTCTTCGTTTAATTCAAAATTTTTACAAAGTTACATTGAATTTTGAATTAACATTGTCATTGATACATCTTGGATTTCAATGCAAAAAGAATTTCCCACATTAGCTAAAAAGGCTTTTATCAGTTTTATTGCGATTTTTTACTTCTATTGACTACTCAACCTTAAATACCATCAAAAATAAGAAGTGAGAAAGATTACACTCAACTGAAAAAGAAATGAGGGCCTGTTTATCGCACATTCGACCGGATATTGAAGAAATCGAAAAAAAAAAAATTTAAAAAAGAAATAAAAAAAAAAAAAAAAAAATACCAGGTCATTTCCCACTAAATAAGCTGAGCACAAATAGTTGAATAGAAACATTGAAATAATGTTTATGTTTGTGTGTGTATTTTTGAAAAATCTATGGCTTTATTTCATAACATTTAAATGTACAGCTTTAGACATTTTTCTAAGTATGCCGTGATATTTTTATTTGCTCCGAGGTGTGCCTTTGCTTGAGAAACACTGCTTTGCAAAAAATAGGTAAATACGATAATTGAAGGGATCAGACTGTTCGCCAGTGTTCTTAAAGACATTGGCTACAGAAGAGCTTTTCCAAACAAACTGGAAAGCAATAAGCAGCGAGGCATTTTATTGTAGAATTTGGAGAGAACAGGAGCCAGTTCAGGAGTACATTCACCTAGGAAAATGCTGGGATACTGTCGAATTCGCAGGCCTTCTAGGAATCTAGTTTATCACTCAGTAGAAACTCCGTTTTAGAGGGGAAATCAGGCAAAATGGATAAATGTGCTCAATATCTGGAATAGAACGTTTATAAATATAAGACGGAAAACAATACAGTCTGTTTCATGCTTGAATTCAATCTTCAGGCCATTTGAAGATTGAGTTTAAGCATGCAACAGATTGTCGCCACTCAGTGTTGATATCAATGTCCACGTAATATATATAAGGAGAGGGAGAGAAGGAGAGAGAGAAGGAGAGAGAGAAGGGGAATGACGAGAGATTTAGATATAAACATAGCGAGATCGATGAATATGAATAGCTAGCTAGCTAGCTAGATAGATAGATAGATATGAAGAGAATGAGACAGATAGATAGATAGACAGAGAGAGAGAGAATTTGATTTAATAGGAATAGAAATTATTTCCGAGTATTATAATTTTTTCACTTATTATTTTGTCTGTTTTTGCTTCATTTCATGACACTCGTGTAAAATAATAGATGTGAAAAAGAAAGAAAGAAGTTAAAAGACAAATTAAGAAAAAAGTAAGAATGAAAGTATGAAAGAATTAAGTAGAATGAATTAAAGAAAGAAATATAAAGAAAAATTAAATAAACGGAAAGAAGACAAGAAAGAATTGTGTAAAAAGAAAGAAGTAAAAGAATTAATTAAAGAGAACGAAGAAGAAAAAGAAAGAAAGAAAGAAAGAAAGAAAGAAAGAGACAGAGAATTAAGGGAAAAGAAAAAAAGCAATATAAAGAAAAAATGAAGTAAAAAGAAAGAAAAAAATAAAAAAGAAAGAATTATGTAGAAAGAATGAAGGAAGTCAAGAAGAAAAATGAAGTAAATAGAAAGAATGAGACCAATAAATAAATACAGAAAAAAAAGAAGGAAGTGGTAAAAAGAAAGATTCATTGTGATGTGGAAAAGAGAAACAAAACTAATTAAAGTTAACAAACGAAAAAATCAAAAAGGGATGCAAGAAAATAAAAAGTAAGAAAGAAACAAAGAAAGAAACAAATAAACAAAGAAAGAAACAAAGAAACAAGGAAGAAACAAAGAAACAGAGAAACAAACAAAGAAAACAAAGAAACGAATAAAGAAAGAAAAACCAAAGAAAGAAAGAAACAAACAAACACATATAGAAACAACCAAACAGACAAACAAACAAGGAAACAAAGAAACAAACAAACAAAGAAACAAACAAACAAATGTGTTAACAGAAAAATGGGGAGAAAATTAAAAAAAAAAAAGGGAAATCACTTTTCTTTCAAGAAGAATTTTGAAAAAAAAAAAAAATAACGCAATCACAGTTTCTCCTTCTTTAAGGATTGGCACTACAAATGTTTTTAGGATATTCTGTTTTTATAAATATTTTTTTAAATAATGACTAGATAAGAAAGTGTATCCGGGTCGCTTTTTTCGTGATGGCATTTGATAACATTTTAATAAACAGACTTTATTTATAAGTTTACTTTAGCAACTCAAACTCTTTACACTTCTCTTCACTGCCGGATTTACTAAAATTAACGGCATTTGGTGTTGGCATATGTTTAGTTATATTTGCCTAAATAGGCAAATCCTTGATAATTACTTCTGGGTATGGTTGGAATTGGTTAAATCACTAAAGAAACAAAATATGACATTTTTAAAATGTCTTGCGAATTATTTAAATAATTTCCATGACGACATTTTCAGGCGAAAATTTACATTTAACCTTCTTTATGTAGGACAACGTTTCACAACCGTTTTACCCCTTGCGTAACCCTTAAAATAAATGACATGTCTTAAGGAACCCCTGCGCCAAAACAAAATTATATACCATATCTTTCTCATTTTGTTTTCATCGTAGTTCACATGATAAATATCATAGTATATATTTTTGAATAACTGGTTTAAGGAAAAATTAACACTCCTTTGTCAAATCTTTCGGTAACGCTAAATAAAATTCATACTGTTTGTTTATAATACTTCATCTCGCTGAACCCTTGGGGACCTTTTGCGGAAACTTAGAGTTCCGGGGAACTCCGATTGAGAAACGTTGTGTAGGGTATGGAATAGGCTTATCTCTGAGGTGTTAGAGCGTTTCAATCATATTGTCCTGAAGCGTTTGTTTGTTTAACGGTATATCAACATCTTATGGGTCATTTAATGTCAAAATCTTATTTTCTTGCTTGTGAGCTTTGGTAATTTTCTTTTTTCCAAAAATAAATTGCTTACATTTTTTTTTTCATTTTTTTTACTATGAAAATGTATTGCTGTTAATTTTTTCTAATCTATTTTTATATTTTCCTAATTTGACAACAGTTTTTTTTTTTTTTTTTGCTGGGGGCAATATTTTCCCATAGTTGGTACCCTAATAGGTGCTACCGCCCTGGATCAGGCTAGTCCTGAGAACAACATCAATTAAAAGGTGGTTTCACACTCCTGAAAACCTCCCGGGCAGAGGCTTTGCTGCCAGATGTAGTTTATTGTTATACCCAGAAACCAGAAGGAGTCCTGAAGAGACGACCCCATACCGGTTGATATGGTTGAAAGCCATACCCAAACCTTGTGAGTAAATTTGGGTAGACGAAGCCGTTTGAAAGCTATTGATGTTTCTGCTAACACAAACTCACATCACACGTCCTTACCTCATAGGCAGATAAGAGCTCTTTAGCCTTGGCTTGTAATTTATCTGGCCACTCGTGGTGATGTATCGGTTTAAAATGTTACACAATGTATGAAATTCTTGAAAATAAAAAAGCATTTCTTTCATGGGGTTGCAATCAGCTGCAGGCAGAAATAGCGCAATACAAGGGAAAAGAAATCGCGGAGAACCATGATCAGCCACATCTGGAAGGGACATGGTACATAAGTAATAACAGATAGAATTGACTAAGCTTAATCTGGTACCTTTACCATCTCTCTTTAAAATTGGTCTGCTCTGTATTGCCACAAACTTAAATCCAAATATACATTTTGGAACTAGAAAGGTACATATACATGAATTCAGAAGGAGAAAGTTGACACTTTGAGACATATTATGAGGAAAGGCGGCAAGGAAAATTTAATACACACATATTTAATACACAGATATTAAAGTAAAAGTATAAGATAAACATCGAGTAACTTACATAATAATCTTATGTGAAAAGCGGGGAGGCAGTAAAGAGTCAAAAGTTGTTTAAAGTTGAAATGGAAAGGAAGTTGTGGAGAGCCATAATCATCCAAATCCTGAAAGCACGCAGCATATAAGCGATGATGATGATGATGATGATAGTGAGTATTGGTTAAGTCAAGTCAGGTAGAAGAGTCACTATTATGGGGTGCTCAGTAATGACCTGCTAGACTCGCCTGTTGCTATTCTATAGAGTATTTCAATGAAAATTTTTGGATGAAATCCATAGCTTTGTTCAATCATGTCATCCGCATGTGAACTTTTGTCTGAATAAATAACGTAATATCCAACACTGGAATTTTAATAAATTTCATAATATCCAAAATTTATAGGGTTAATATTTTCAGCAATATCCAGAATTTATATGCTTAATAAATTCCGTAATGTCTACATTTATAGGATTAATAAATTCCACAATGTCCAGCATTGGAGGGTTAATAAATTCCATAATGTACAACATAAATTCAGCAATATCCGACATTTATCGGATTAATAACTAACACAATATCCAAATTTTGATAGGCTTAATAAACTCCGTAATGTCCAATATTGTAGTGTTAATAAATTCAGTAATATCCAACATTTGCAAGGTTAATAAATTCAGCAAATATACAACATTTAAAGGGTAAATAAATTCAGCAATATCCAACACTTATAGGGTTAATAACTACCGCTATCCAACATTGATAAGCTTAATAAATCCTGAAATTTTCAGCAGTTATAGGATTCATAAAATCTGCAATATCCAACATTAATAGGCTTAATAAATCTGGTAATGTACAACATGCAAAGGGTTAATAAATTCTGTAATGCCCAACATCGGAGGGTTAATAACTTCCATAATATCCAACATTTATAGTGTTAATGACTTCTGCAATATCCAGCATTTAAAAGGTTAATAACTACCCACATATCTAACACTGATAGGCTTAATAAATCCAGTCATGTCCAACATTTACATGGTTAATAAATTCAGTAATATCCTACATTTATGGGGTTAATAATTACCGCAATATCAAACACTGATAGGCTTAATAAATCCCGCAATGTCCAACATTTATAGGGTTAATAAATTCAGTAATATCCAATATTTATAGATTCTGCAATCAAACATTGATAGGCTTAATAAATCCCGTAATGTCCGTTATTTATAAGGTTAATAAATTCAGCAATATCCAGTATTGATAGGGTTATTAAATTCCGTAATGTGCAGTTTTTATAAGGTTAATTAATTCCGTAATGCCCAACATTTATTGGGTTAATACATGTCCTAATATACAATATTTATTGGGTTAGGTAAGAAAGTTCTGGTATACTCACACAGTTTTCAAATTCTGTTATTTGACATTCTTCTGTCACTAATTCACTCCAAGTAACCTTTTCTTAACAAGCATTTTAACACCAACCAAATTAGTTATGAAATAATGTTATCTAATCTAAATTATGGTGATGTTTTGAACACATTTTCTTTTTACCGTGTTTGAACTTTTTATATAATTCCCTGCTGATTTGATCCTTTTCAACTTTTCTTTACATTGCAAAACTATCGATTAGATGAAAACACTTTTCATCTCAAGTAGAGTACATCGTAGCTGACATTATTGTGTGTTTTAAGGAGCTCGCTTGGTGGTCTAGACAGGGGAGTATTCGGCAATCTGTTGACTTTCTAGGCAGGTCAATATGCGTGTTGTATAATGGATGGCAGCTCAGAATGAGAAATCAGAGAGTCGAGTTCGAATTCCAGTCGAGATGGTTACATTAACTTAACGCACAAATACACTTGGGATAACTATGAATTCAACTCTTCCCCATCCCCTTAGATATAGAACTTGTATCTGAAAAAAAAATCATTGTTATCTCTAAATTAACTGTTCATATGACATTCACCTTTGTAGTGATATCAGCTGATATCCTTTTAAGGAGACATCTGGAGGATGTTACAGAAATCGTTTTCACGATTATCAGCTAAGTAAAGCGGACCTCGGAAGAACCATAGCAAATGATCCTGATAAAGGAGGGCAGCTGAGTAGAGCTGACTTGAGTAATTACTTTTTAGACGAAAGCTGACAGGACAAAGAATGCTGTTTCCATATACGACAGTGGTCCCTAGCCGCCTACAGGACAGAGTCCGTTTGAACCCCGACGCGTCAAGGAAAACACGGACACGTGGTACCGTTTATTCCCTCATCTCGCCCCACTCTGCTTGTCTCGCCTACAGTAGAAGGTTACAACTTAATAAAATCTTTTCGAGTGCTGCGACTCCGTCTCGTGGTTTTATTTTTTTGGGTAACGATCGGGCCAAGGAATTATTTTCCCCAAGCTTTCGACTGGAACCTGCAAACGAACATGGTTCCTGGCCTTAGTTTCAATTTTCAAGCAATCAGTTAGCATAGGTAGGCTTGTGTAACGATCGGGCCAAGGTGTCTGGTCTGAGTTGCAATTTACAAGCAATCAATTAACATAGGTAGGTTCTTCTCGCCCCTGTGTCCTTTAGAATAAATAAATAAATAAATAAAAGAAGCCATGTTCGCGATTTGACAAGATCTAATTAAGTTGTTCCCAATATCCAGTTCTTTTCTTTCCGCTTGGACTGAAATCTGGATCTCAAAGAACTGAGACCTTGCTGCCGGGTGTAATTTATTGTCAGGACATATCACTAATGGTAGTAGTAATATTAGGCGTTTAAAAAACATTCGGCATTCATTTTCCGAGTATCTAAAAGATTCTCAATTCCGGTAACTGCTATCACTCTTTCTAGTATTGATGGGAATTTCCTTTTAAACCTTATGTTTAGAAGAAAATTTAAACCTTAGGTTTAGAAGGAAATTTAAACCTTAGGTTAAGAAGGAAATTCCTTTCAGAAGGCAATTCATTTTCCGAATATCTAAAAGATTTACAGCAATACCGTAAACAAAACATATGAGCAAATAAAAAGATTTTAACAAGAATACTAACTACAAGGAAACATTTTTTTTTTACAATCAGAAAGAGAAACCTTAGGTTTAAAAGGAAATTTAAACCTTAGGTTGAGAAGGAAATTCATTTTAGAAGGAAATTCATTTTAGAAGGAAATTCATTTTCCGAGTATCTAAAATATTTACGGAAATACCGTAAACAAAACATATGAGCAAATAAAAAGATTTTAAAAAGAATACTAACTATAAGGAAACATTTTTTTTACAATCAGAAAGAGAAACCTTAGGTTTAGAAGGAAATTCCCATCAATACTAGAAAGAGTGATAGCAGTTACTGGAATTGAGAATCTTTTAGATACTCGGAAAATGAATGCTGAATGTTTCCACGACTTCCTGTCTTTTGTCGATCTAATTAACCTTTAACCCTTTACTATAACTCTTTCTCCTTGGTCTGTTAGTTCCATAAATTTGCCAAGAACTTCATTCACGATTTCCCCTGCTTTGCTCTATTCTGCGAGTGTTAAATTCTTCAAATTTTCTTTTCTTTCTCGTTTTGCATCACAGAAATTACAGCTTTTTTCTAATTTTAAGTTCCGAAACTGAAGTTATTTATTTTCTAAGAAGTGAATTATGTAAACATTTCTCTTCCTTTCGTATGCACCGTTTTCCCTCAGAATAGTGACGATCATGGCTCTTCACAGCTTCTACTATTTTGAGACTCTAACCTTTATACCTTTACGATCCTTTGTTCTTGTTCTGCTCTCCGTTCATATAAACGCACCGATTTCTTCTGCTTCTCTTTACCTCCGGCATCCCCCCCCGTGCGTGTTAGATTCTCCAAACCCTCTTTTCTCATTATGTGTGAACTGTCAACTGTCTCTGATTTTAAAAATAAGTTTCTTTGTAGTTAGTATTCTTTTTAAAATCTTTTTATTTGCACATATGTTTTGTTTACGGTATTGCTACCATTCTTTAGTAGGGCCACATATCTGTCGCTTCAAGTCACTTCTTTAACCGTACGGAAATTGTTAAAGGTTCAATTCCATATAGGACGATAGATATATTTTTTAATCGGTTTCACCACAAGCAAGGCAGTAAAGCCACAAAACACAAAGGGGTTACAGGGTGTGGAAGAATTAAGAACAGAAGCATTAATATTGAGCAGAAAGAGGGAAAATGATAAGGAGGACACTAGATAGCGAATAACATTGCATTTAAATTTTTACAGACTGAAGTTGGTTAGAAATCATTAATGCGATCTCGACGTCAGTCCCGTACTGCGCTTAAATTAAAAAAAAGTCTAGGTATCATAGCGAAGAGCACATCAGGAAAATTACCATGGAAGGGTTTATAAAAAGACATAGAGAGGCAACCTTACGACGATAGGAAATCGTCTGAAGCCGAGCCACCAGATCAGGACCAATAATATTGCTGATTCTTCTTTGGATTTTATCAAGGAGCTTAGGATATTGCATAGATTGTTTGTTTCTAACGAAATTTTCCTATCTCTTAATACTTTTCTTAGTTTCTGAAAGGCATGTTTCGCTTTTCGAGCTTGGTGCTAATGGATTCCAAGTAATATTAGAAACAATAGGACGTCGGAATATTACGTCATGTCTAACCTTCGAATACTGAACAATTTTGTTGTGTTTTAACAATGCTGCTATAGTCAGGCTTTCAATTCTTCCTTGAATTTCCAGTTTTTCTAAACAAATTGCAAGGCTTTTTGATCATGGGATAATTACGAACGAGCCAATAATTGGCTCATGATTAAAAAATATTTAAAGATTGATATATGAGACATCATTAATAATAATAATAATAATAATAATAATAATAATAATAATAATAATAATAAATGAACTTATTAAGAAAATCGTATAAACTTCAATAATTCAAATTTGTACACTATTTACGTTATTCAGAGTATTGTCCTCATCTTTGCTGCCATATTTATCACAACGTTTCAGCCGATGTACGCTCCAGCCTTCTTCAGGTGGTTGGAATGTCGAACTGAACCCTTTATTTCGCTCTCTGGGGTAGACTGTTCTAGTTCCATATGCCATGTCTAATAGATGTCAGTTATCAGTTATCTCCTGTTAATTCCCCTTTATCCTTAAGGATACACGGCACAGTGGATAAAAGCGTTGGTTAGATCCAGTGACAGGACCCAAAGAGTTGTGAGTTCAATACCTGGTTAAGGCAGCGGAGAATTTAGAGAGGGGAAGTAGGCTTATAAGGAATGGTCAATATGGATCTCAAAGATACAGAGTATTTTAATTTACTTGTTATTACTGTTATTTACTATGTTAGCTTCTACCAAGGGATATGGGAGCAGAAGAGCCACCAGGGTCCTCCTGTTTACACGACGACAGCGGACGCAACACCTCACCTGGTCTCGTGACGTTGTAAAGTGGACCCTGGACGACTGGCAATGTTTCCTTCCTTTCTTCTTGCTTACGGCCATATCACGTTGAAACACCTGTTCTCGTAGGGTCACCAACGTTAAGCAACGTCGAACCTGGTCAGTACCTAGATGAGTGACCTGGCACTGTGACCTTGAATGTTCGGTCGGTGTAATGGATAACGGCTCAGAATTGTTAATCGGAGATCCGAGTTTCAATTCCCGTAGGGTTCGTTATACTTACCCACAGATATCCACGGGAAAGGTATGAACCCATCTCTTCTCCCTCGGACTATGGGTTAAATAGTAGGATATGTATCAGTATATCATTATTATATCAAAAAATTATTACCAATTCTTAAAATATTTTCTGGTCTCAAATAACATACAAATGGTTGATAAGCCATAAAAACACCCAAATCTTTCTTTTACAAATTGTTTTTCCTTCCTTTTCCCCTCCTTTTTTAATTTATACCTTCTTTCCTTCCTTCCATCTTTCTTTCTATTGTACTTTCTATATCAGTATCTTTATTCCTTCCTTCTTTCTTTCCTTCCTCTTTCCCTCCTTTTTTAATTTTTTTATTCCTTCCTTCCTTCTTTCTATTGTACTTTCTATATCAGTGTCTTTTTTCCTTCCTTCTTTCTTTCGTTCCTTGCTATCATTTCTTTGTATATCAACTTACTCGTTCTTTTTTTATTGATATCTTAAACAACTACTAATTTTTATCGCAAATTGAATATAAAAAACACGTCTTTAAAAAACAAGACAAAATGTTTATTAACTTTAACAGATTTAATTTCTGTTAAAGTTTCATGACCTTTCAAACGGAAACATTTTCCTACAAAGTCAAACTTATGTATTTTGCAGACATAACCCTCATTATTTACAGAAGAAAATAATTCCAAGTTACTTTCTGTAATATTTTGTTCCAGTCTTTAAGTGACTGTTTTCCTTATGTAACCGTTACATTGTGTAGATGGAGTAAGAAAAAAAGACAGCCATTGATAAAAATTAATTCATAAATAAGCCGATTCATCCTTGTCCATTAGATCACGCCCATTCATAAACAATAAAAGGCCAACTGTATAAGTCCATTCATTACGAATACATCTATCATACATGTCAGATGGGAAGTGGGCGGAGTCAAAACGATATAGCACCAACGATTTTTCCTTCTTTCGGTATGAATTAAAATTCTATACAGTATCTTTCATATAAGAATATTACGTTGATCAATGCATTTGTTTGCTAAGGGACACACTCAAGCGTGAATGTATACATACAGAGAGATAAAAGCAAAGGAAGGAAGGAAGGAAGGAAGGAAGGAAGGAAGGAAGGAAGGAAGCGGCAAGTTAAGAAAGAAAGAAAAAGAAAGAAAGAAAGAAAGAAAGAAAGAAAGAAAGAAAGAAAGTTGATAGAAAAGAAAACGACAGGAAAGAAAAAACAAACAGAGATAGAAAAAGTATAAACGGAGCAAGTAGCAATAGTAACAGAGGAATACAAGGAATGAAATAAGGAAGGAAAGGGTTGTTGAAGGAAGGAAGGAAGGAAGGAAGGAAGGAAGGAAGGAAGGAAGGAAGGAAGTGGCAAGATGAGAACGAGGAAACAGAAAAACGAACACAGGGGATGAATTAAGAAAGAAGTAAATAGAAAGAAAAGAAAAGAAAAAGAAAGGAATGAAAAGAGGAATAAAAGAAAAAGCTGAGATTGGAAAAGTAAGGACAGGGCAAGTTGGAATAGTAATAGAATAGAAGGAATGAAATCCTGCCTTCCTTACTTCCTTGGTTCTTTGTTCTTTCTATCTCTGCTTATTCTAGCCTTCCACCCTACCGCCCTTCCTTCGTTCCTCCCTCCCTCCCTCCCTCCCTCCCGTCCTTCCTTCCTTCCGTGTTCCTTTGTTCTTTCTATCTCTGCTGATTCTAGCCTTCCATCTCACCTTTCTACTTTCCTCCCTTCTTTCTTTCCTTCTTCGTTCCTTTGTTCAATTTTTTTTTTATCTCTGATTGTTCTAACCAGCCTTCTCTCTTTCCACACATCCTTCTTGGTTCTTTCTCTCTCTGCTTATTCTAGCCTAAACGCTTTCATTCCTTCCTCTGTTGTTCCTTTGTTCTTTCTATCTCTGCTTATTTTAGCCTTAATTCCTTCCTACCTACTTTCTTTTCTTCCTTCTTTCCTTCCTTCCTTCTTTGGTCTTTCTATCTCTTCTTATTCTAGCCTTCCTTCCATCATTCCTTCCTTCCTTGTTTTCTTTTCTTTCTATTTCTGCTTATCTTAGACTTCCGTTCTTGCTTCTTTGCTTTCTTCCTTCTTTCATTGTTTCTTTGTTCTTTCTATCTCTGCTAGACTTTCTTTATTTTCTTCCTTCCTTCCTTGCATCGTTGTTCTTTTGCCCTTTCTATCTCTGTTTGTTCTAACCTTCTTGTCATATTTGCTTATTTCCTTTTTTTCTTGTATCATAGTTTGTTTGTTTTTTATCTCTGCTTATTCTTTCCTTCCTTCCTTGTTCCTTTGTTCTTTCTATCTCTGCTTATTCCAGCCATCCTTCCTTCGTTCGCTCTTTTCTTGTTCCTTTTGTTCTTTCTATCTCTCCTTATTCTGGCCTTTCTTCCTTCATTCCTTCCTTTGTTTCTTGATACTTTGTTCTTTCTATCTCTACTCATGGTAGCCTTCCTTTATTCCTTCTTTTCTTTCTTTCTTTCTTTCTTCTTTCCTTCCTTCCTTTTGTTCTTTCTATCTCTGCTTGTTCCTCCCTTCCTTCCTTCCTTTTGTTCTTTCTATCTCTGCTTGTTCCTTCCTTCCTTCCTTCCTTCCTTCCTTTTGTTCTTTCTATCTCTGCTTGTTCCTTCCTTCCTTCCTTCCTTTTGTTCTTTCTATCTCTGCTTGTTCCTTCCTTCCTTCCTTCCTTTTGTTCTTTCTATCTCTGCTTGTTCCTTCCTTCCTTCCTTTTGTTCTTTCTATCTCTGCTTGTTCCTTCCTTCCTTCCTTCCTTCCTTTTGTTCTTTCTATCTCTGCTTGTTCCTTCCTTCCTTCCTTCCTTCCTTCCTTTTGTTCTTTCTATCTCTGCTTGTTCCTTCCTTCCTTCCTTCCTTCCTTTTGTTCTTTCTATCTCTGCTTGTTCCTTCCTTCCTTCCTTCCTTCCTTTTGTTCTTTCTATCTCTGCTTGTTCCTTCCTTCCTTCCTTCCTTTTGTTCTTTCTATCTCTGCTTGTTCCTTCCTTCCTTCCTTCCTTTTGTTCTTTCTATCTCTGCTTGTTCCTTCCTTCCTTCCTTCCTTCTTTTTGTTATTTCTATCTCTGCTTGTTCCTTCCTTCCTTTTGTTCTTTCTATCTCTGCTTGTTCCTTCCTTCCTTCCTTCCTTTTGTTCTTTCTATCTCTGCTTGTTCCTTCCTTCTTTCCTTCCTTCCTTCCTTTTGTTATTTCTATCTCTGCTTGTTCCTTCCTTCCTTCCTTCCTTTTGTTCTTTCTATCTCTGCTTGTTCCTTCCTTCCTTCCTTTTGTTATTTCTATCTCTGCTTGTTCCTTCCTTCCTTTTCTTCTTTCTATCTCTGCTTGTTCCTTCCTTCCTTCCTTCCTTCCTTCCTTCCTTCCTTCCTTCCTTCCTTCCTTTTTTGTTCTTTCTATCTCTGCTTGTTCTAGCCTTCCACCCTACATTCATTCCTTCTTTTCTTTTCTTTCTATATCAACTTTCTGTTTCTTTCTTTTTTTTTAAATTTCGCCTCAAGCAAGGTGATAAAGCCACTAAGTCGCAAAGGGATTACTGAGAATGAAAGACAACGAGAAACCATTACTGATGAGAAAAGATAATAAAAAAAAACAGGATTCGAGAGGACGATTGTGATTGCATTTAAATCTAATTTTTTTCAAGATCATAGTCTACAGGAAGGCACTTAGATGGAAGAGAGACCCACAAGTGCGGAATGTAAAAGAAGAAACCTTTAAAATAGAACTTACGGTTACACTCAGCAATTTCAACAGTAAAATAATGAGACCTAACTGGCAATCTAGTACAATCATGAAGTCGAGTTACCAAAGACACAAAGTATTAGAACAATTACTATGAAAATATTTATGGAAAAGCAAAGGGAAGCAAGTTTACAACGTTTGGAAGGTGACTGGAGCTGAGATGCCAGGTTAGTATCGATAACGTTGCAGATTCTTTGGATTTTGTCAAGAAGCTCTAGATACATAGCTAAAGCATCAGGCAAGATGTGGCAACAATATTCAATGTACGGACGAATGGTAGACCTATAAATGTGCAAAATACAAATAGTAATATCAAGTCTGGTGCTTTTGCTATATAGAGATTCAGAATCTGCAATGTTTTTGGTCCTCACCTAGCATCTCGGCTTCAGTCACTTTCTCACTGTCGTATGTAGCTTCCTTGTGCCTTTTCTTTAAGTATTTCCATGGTAATTGTTCTGATGAACTTTCCGCTATGGTACCTAATACAAAATATATTCTAATAAATGAGGTGCTTTTCGAAAAACCTATTTGAACTTCACAGATAAACTTAAATTTAATGTATAAACTTATGTTTTATCGTACATTCTCGTGTATAAGTCGAATTCATATATATTGCGACCACTAATTTTTTGCATGAACTTTAACCCCTCCAGAAAATATTACGTCTGTATATTGCAACCGGTCAACGAAAACCGATGATTTTAATCTGTTCAAAAAGATTAGCTGTGTTTAGTGCGACACCCTATGTTTATGTAAAAACTAATAATAAAAACTTGCACTCTAGTCGAGTATATACAGTAACCATTTCCCGCCAAGCAAGGAAATAAAGCCACTAAGACGCAATGAGTCATAAAATGTTGGAGAATACAACGATAAAAAAACACTGTTAAGTAGTCAATTAGTTATGTGGCATGCGTGATACACGCTTAGGCGATCATGTATCATTTGATACATGACTGATAGAGGTAGGTTTTCCCGCAGTAGGTTGCCATTTCTTTCTGCAGTAGACCAGTCGCCATCCAAGTCTATAGAACCCGGGCTGTCTTGCTATTTACCCATAACTGGGGGGGGGAGAAGAAGAGTATTTGTGCGTAAGTGAATATTAGTCAGTTATGTACCATGTGTGATACACGCTTAGGCGATCATGACGGGGCAGATTTTTTCCCGCAGTAGGTAGCCATTTCTTTCTGCGGTAGACCAGTTGCCATCCAAAGCTATCTGGTCTATCCTGCTATTTACCCATAGCTGGGGGGAGAAGAAGATTCATATACTTCCCAAGGGTATTAGCACGTAAGTGAATGTAATGGATTCGACTGGAATTCGAACTCGGCTCTCTGATTCCTCAACCCGAGCCACTATCTATTACTCCAAGGTAGGGAGAATAATAAAAAGATCAGAAATTAAGAAGACAGAAGATAAAGACTGACATTGTATTTAAAGTCGGAAGAGAGTTTCACAGGCCACGGAACTTCGGTTACATCTAGATATTTCAGCTGTAAAATGATAAGTATAGAGAATAGTACTGCGTTTAAATTCACAAAGTTTAGCTACCATAGATTTTAACGATGTAAAGTAATCAAGTGTTAAGTATATTGATGGTAGTATTTGGTGTGGATGTGGCTTTTGTGTTGTGTGAGGTAGATTCATGTAGAACCAAAGTGTTCACTACTGACTGACATTTCGTTTTGTCTTCTGAAACGTAGACTCGAGGATTTTTTTCAAATATTAGCAAACTCAGTTTTGATTGGTTAAAAATGTCATCTAATTTTTGTGCTTGTTTGATCCATTTTAATATATTTCATTTTCTAGGCGGGAATGTGTGTTGATTCTTTTGCTTCATGTTTCGATAAACTTTAGAATTTCTTTTTTTTTCCTTTGTAACTCGCTGATTTGCAAATTTTATAATTTGGAAATATATAATTCCAGTTGTTACAAAATAAAAGGATTAGTTTCATGACTTAGGGTGAAAACCACAGCTTTCATCGAGTAAAAGATTGCCTAATTAGCATAGCTAAGGATTATATGCGCCCGAGCAGTAAAGAAAGGGGAAGAATACGCTACCCGAGTCGTGCAAGTCAGACTCGCGAGATTCGGTTTGCCATATCTCGTTTTAGCATCTCTCAGCTGCCCGGTCCCGGGGTACAGCTGCCCGGTCTTGGAGAACAGCCGCCCGCGGCAGTCCCTACCTTCATTGCACCAGAGAGGAGGGCGTCAGTAGTAATATCGATGCGAGTGAAACCGACAGTTGCGAGGCTGAGCTCCTTTGGGGCCTGTTCAGGTGCACGCGCTCGGGTTCCCCACATTGCGTTGCATTCTACCTGCATGAATACTATTCGGGAATCTTGCGAGTCGGACTTACGAGATTTATAATATGTCAGTCTTCGGGCAGAGAGCAACTCAGTTGTGTCTTCGTCCTCGGACAACGCGCCATAATAATTGAGAGGTGCCCGGTTCCAGGGAACCGCTGCACGCGGCAGTGCCTCTCTCATTGAACTAAAGAGTGGGGTCACCGGTAGTAATACCGAAGCAACCGACCTTTGCGGGGCTGGGCTATTTTTGGACCCGGCCTAGGTACAACCGCTCGGGCACTAAACTGACCTTGTGGCGCATACTGCCTGCGCTGGGCGGCAATTAGATATCGATTACGATAGGTGAGATTAACGGCTACTGCTGGTCTGAATAAAAAAAAAATCACTTTTCCTAACCTTGTTAGAAAAGGTTTCTCAATACCTGGCTTGAGGAGGTGGCTGTATGTTCCAGAGAAATGCCTGGCCGATAATAGTCACAATCATATCAACGCCCCCCCACTCATGTGAATGCTGATTTGAATAAATAACGATTGTTCATTATTTATTATTCGGACTATTGTCCTCATCTTTGTCGTCATATTTATTACAACCTTTCGGCCGTTGTACGCTCCGGCTTTCTTCAAATATGACGACAAAGATGAGGACAATAGTCCGAATAATGTAAATAATGTACATAATACCTCATCTCAGAAATATAGACAGATATTGAAGGACCGAAACGTTGTAATAAATATGGCAACAAAGATGGACAATAGTCCGAATAATGTAAATAATGTACATAATACCTCATCTCAGAAATATAGACAGATACATAACGATTGTCGTCCCGAGAAATAGCAAACGATGAAGCGAGTTCAAATAGAAGCTGAAGTAGTGTGTTTAGTTCTTTTTTTACAGTAAGGTTCACAATCCCGGGAGCCACTCCAAGTAGAGGGTTACATTAAGGGGTAGTTTATATTGGATAGGAGAAGAAGATAACAGTTAACTACATTTATGAACAGGTTAAAATTGTAGTCATCGGGGGAAACATCCTCTTGGGTGTCTGTGTCACAGTGCAGTGGTTCGCTGGATGAAGCTGTTCAAGTAAAACTTACTTCTTGCCAATGGAATATGGAGGTGTTATGCTGTGGCGAAAAAAAATTTTTTTTTTCTTCCACCGAATGAATTCGAATCTTCATCGCCACTTGTTATGGCCCGGTTCCTTATACCACGGTGATAGTCCAAGGTAGAACTAATAAAGAAGACTCGAACACAGGTATGGAATAACACAGATATATTACAAACAGGAATATATACAGAGAAGTAGAAGTGTTAGTATGAACAATCAGGTTTAGTAGAGAGAATAATGTAGTCTCGACCAGTATCACTATTCCAATGTCTTGCAGTAATTGTTTGAACGCGACTCTGTTTCGGACTGCCTCTGACTCGATTCTTGACTCGACTTGAACTACTGACTATATTTAGTCACCCCACCACGTGGGCATCATGTGACACAAAGCCGGTTTAACATGGGATCTCCGAGCCCGTGGGCTCGGCCAAAAATATGCCCATCGAACCCGAATAAATGGGTTCAGGGTCGGTTTACCTAACCGAAAGAGAATCCGTCCTTCGGCGTAGCCTCTTTCGGGTTCCTCCTCGCCCGAAGGCAGAGAATTCAACCGATCAGCCGGTCGACCGAGATCGTCTCGAACGGTCGGTCAAGAGTTGAGCGACTGACAATATTCAGTCTCCCCCTCCCCCACTGGAGCAACATGTGACACAAGGAAGGTTATTTATTGTGGGTTTTCCCGAGCCCGTGGGCTCGGCCCAAAAATATGCCCGTTTGAACCCGCCTAAACGGTTTCAGGGCCGGTTTTACCTCCCCGAAGGAGACTCCGCCCATCGGCGTAGCCTCCTTCGGGTTCCTCTCCGTCCGTAGACAGAGAGTTGAACCGAACAGTCGCTCAAGAGTTGAGCGACTGACAATATTCAGTCACCCCCCCCACGAGGGTGTCATGTGGCACAAGGCCTTTTTAACGTGGGCATTTCCGAGCCATTAGGCTCGGCCAAAAAATAGCCCATTTGAACCCGTATAAACGGGTTCAGGACCGGTTTTACCTCCCCGAAGGAGACGCCGCCCATAGGAAGAGGGTTCAAACCCAGCAGTCTGTTCAAAAGTGAGCGACTGACTCCCTGTCTACCCCTGAGGCGCAGTATTTATTAAGTATGGAATAGTCCATTATTATTATTATGGATAAGATCCCATAACAGGAGGGAATAAGGGTGATTTGCTACTATGGAAGTGGCCTGGTGGGTCCTAACCATGAAGGTTAGGACTGACGGAACCAAGGAATGTAGTTCGTCCGAGCACTTTCCGAGGAAGTAGCGATAGTGTAGCCAAAGAAAGAGGTTGGAGGGTGGAGAATAATTATTCTCCAACAAAGATTCGGAGAGCCCT